CCCCCCCCCGCCCCCCAGCTGGGCCCCGGAGAGGGCACGTGATCCCCCATGCACGCTGTGACACTGCACCCCAGATTCTCCACTGTGGTATGATTATGGTACAAGATTAGTCGTGTGAGGGGTCTCGGGAAACGGGCTGATTTGCCGGATAGGATCACCCTCTTTGGGTCAGTTTTGTATCTGGAGTTATAAATATTGATTGGGGGCCTGTACTTCCAACGGGCTCACTCTGGGCGACACCCACAGCCAGCCTGTCAGGTACAGCAAGAAAGAAGCCAGACAGTGCTGATGGCCCATCAGCAAAGCCAATGGGCCATGGAAGAGCTGAGCCTTCCGGTGAACGTTGCAGCCAGCCAATGACTAATGGCTGCTAGGACCCAGCAAGGACATGTGACCAGACCACATGACACTTAACTCCATTTTGGTACCTGTATTTTTCCACCAACTGGGCTGGGAACTTAGCCGGAAACAAAGGGAGAGACATCACAATTGGTCTTCACTCCCCCACAACCCCACCCGTGGAAGAAGCTCCAAAAGACAAAGGACTTGGAACGGGGGAGGGGCACTGTAGCAAGGTGGTGGGATACCCCACAGCCCTGCTGAGGGACGAACCGCCCCTAACACCAACGTGGGCGGAGCCACTGGGTCCTGCACCCGCCCCTCTGAGGTCACGGCGCCGACCCAGAAGTATAAAAGCCCGCCTGCAGAGCTCAGTTGAGAACTAGCTGCTGGAGAGACCAGATGCCTGTGACCGAGCTCCCTCTTGGGGGACACGACTGGCCTGATGTCACACTGGGCCAGCCGAGCCTACCCCTGGCTCATCACCCCGAGGACTGGCCGCGCCTGCCCCTTGCCAGCTACCCTGAGGAGCAGCCGAGCCTGCCCTTCGCTACCTACCCAGAGGAACCGATGCTGGTGGAGAGCACCGAGGACACTAGTCCGGCCCAGGTACCATACAACGGGGAATGTGGAAGTAGCCCGGGGGCAGCCGACCCCAGTCTGGCTGCAGCACTACCAGAGCCGATGTCAGTGTGTTGCGGCCAGGATCCCCACTGACAGCAGCGAGTTTCCGTCACTGCTAGGGCCCCGGGCTGGGACGCAGTGGAGTGGGAGGGCCTGCGTCACTCCTTGGGTGGCAGACTCCCCCTTTCCCTGGCCTGGAGAGACTGGGACCTCTTGCTCATTGACTCAGCCCCTGCTTAAGGGCCTGAGTCCCTGACTGTTTGGTTGCTGCCCCGCCCTGATCTAGGGCCTGGGCTGCTACAGAACTATTGGCTCAGCCCCGGCCCAAAGGGCCTGAGTCCCTAACCGTGTGTTTGCTGCCCACACTACCGCAGGGCCAGGACTGACGGCGAACTAGGGCGAGGCGATGGGATACCCCACAGCCCCGCTGAGGGACGAACCTCGGCCAAGCCCCAGTACAGGCACCCAGGCTGCCCAGCAATTGCCGTCTGTACCTTAATCTGCAGGCCGGCTTGGCCCATCCGTCAGGTGGGATTTGAATGATCTGTTTCTCCCCCATCTTGTACGTTAGGCTTAGCTTGTGGTTGTGACGAAGTGGGACTGTTAATGTTTCCTCTGAATACTGTGTGGGTGCCTCAGTTTCCCCTATGCATTTCTGGAGTCTCTAGGTGGTGAGGAAAGGCCAGTGTGCATCAATCACGGATACTCTGTCTCCCTGGCAACAAATGGCCAGGGCCCCTTCCCCCCTGCAAGGAAATAGCTAAAGGTGAACAAAGGGATCAGGTGACCTCCTGGCCCAGGAAAGAGACAAAGCCCAGAGAAGGAGGGGCTGGACGGGGTTTTCAGAGTTTGGAGCTACCTGGGGACTGGAAGGGAGGGCAGACGGGGATCTGCCTCGCTGGGCCCCAGAATGGACCCGGCGGAGGGGTCCCGTTCGCTGGACCTACAAGCTTTGTTTTAGACCGTGTTCCTGTCATCTAATAAACCTCTGTTTTACTGGCTGGCCGAGAGTCACGTCTGACTGTGAAGTGGGGGGTGCAGAACCCTTTGGCTTCCCCAGGACCCCACCTGGGTGGACTCGCTGTGGGAAGCGCATGGAGGGGCATATGCTGAATGCTCCCAGGAGAGACCCAGGAGGTGAAGCCGTGTGAGCTTCTTGCCCTGAAGACGGTCTGCTCCGAGGGAGAGGAGGCTCCCCAGAGTCCTGACTGGCTTTGTGGGGAGCAGTTCCAGAGCATCGCCTGGGGACTCCATGACAGCGGTTTGGTTTTGTTTGCTAGGTATCTGCTTTGCTCTGTTCGCTGTCCTTTAGAATCTCTTCCAGTCTCTTTCTGTAGTTAATAAACTTCTTTTATGTTTTCTCTTAACCAGCGTGACTTTAAGTGAAGTGTCCGGAAAATCTCCGCTTGGTTAATGCAGGCTTGTTGTGCACATCTCTCCCTGCCCGAGGGAACTATCTTAACTAGCTTGAACTGTACAGATCCACGTGCGGTGCAAGACCCTGTAATACTGGGTTTACGCTCCATGGGTGCCGGGCTGGGGAGCTGGCAATTGGCTGGTGTCTCCTGTTTGTCCTTGTGGCTTAGGTGAAGCACTCAGGTAGCTCAGCTGGGTGTGTGGCGCCACCTGCTGTCCTGTTGGGGGATAACAGGGCCTGGAGAGGCTGGCTGGGTCACCAGCGGAGCAGCGTGAGACGGGCCAGCCCAGCTGGATGGTTCAGGGGCCCAGTGGTTCCCACGGCCCCCAGACAGCACCCGGGGGGTGACAACCCGTCACGCACGGCCCACCCCGAATGCCGCTCTCACCTAGCCTGTGGGCGTAGACCACGTCACTCAGCACCAACACGCGGCTCTGGGGGTCAGGGTAGAGCTCCCGGAAGGCCCCCGCGCAGCGCTCCGTGTCAAGGGGTTGTCGGCCAAACACGTGCAGCACTGGCAACTTCCTGCAGGGGCTGAGACACGCGGGGCCGTAGTGCACCACGGCCTCCGCCCCCACGTGCTCCGCGGCCACCTCGTCCACGCAGCAGCTACC